GCTTCAGGTTAGCAACATATGCTGCAGGAACAGCTCTTGCTCATCCAATCATAGGTACTTCGGATTAGCTAAAACTAAGTTGAATTAATCTAAAACTTCGTCACCCACTGGTTAAAAGCGGGTATTTATACCCAGATTAGCCAAAATATGTGAAAAGCACAATAGTTGGATAAATATTAATAGTACCAGTATATTTTTATGATGTACTATTAATAGTAATTAACAATTATCTGTGTTTTGAAGTATAATGTTTGCAAAGTACAGAGTTTACAGTTAGGTGGATTAGATTATGCGATTGTATGGTTGTATTGATACATGTATATGTTCGTGGCGACCATCAACGTGCAGCAAGGAACGAACATTGTAGCAGGGGAGCCTTGCCGAGACGTTATCCTTGACGCATTGAATTGCTCACAAGCCTCAGACATGAAATAAGAACGTGATCGTGTATACAGACATATCATTCGTGTGCTTGAGCGTAGCAGTAGAATCTATCCCTTACCGCACTATACTGCACGGCTTCAGTGTTTCGCTCTGGTGGTGTGTGTATGCCAGTGGGTCGTCCATCAAAACAAAAGTGGGGTACGTACGCGGAGGCGACCCACTGGTATTGATGCTGCGCCCATGCAGTGCGGCCGTGTGTTGGCGGTCGGCGTGACCAGCACCGATGACTTGGGATGCCAACGGTGAGTGTAAAATAAATAGACCAACTAGGTTATTCTGGAAAGAACCCCCAAATAGGAAAATGGTTTTACCCCCTTTGGGTTAATGCAAAATAAGGGAAATGCGAAGCTTAGGTGAAGAGGAGGAGAAATGCACGAGATTGTAAGCTTATCATTGTAAATGCAGAGGCTGATGGGTGGGATTAACTGTAAATTGAGGACGCATGTCCATTGGCTAATCATTATATGCTGGAAATGCGACCGTTGGTTGAAACGAAGGAAATTTGCTTTCAACCTGCAGAAAATGCGACTATTGGTAGAAAAGAAGTTTGCCTCGCGTTTGTATTCGTGGATGCGGAAGTACATTTCAATGTGCAGAAAATGATACTATTGGTCGAAAAGGTGTTTGTGTAGATGTCAAGTCGCATTTCCTTCATTTTGAAATGTGCGGAAGTACATTTCAAAATGAAGGAAATGCGACTATTGGTGGAAACGAAGCTTGCGACCCCTTTTATTGGGTAGTGCGTGAAATGAGCTTTCAAAACACAGAAAATGAATGTTGTGTCGTGTTGCTGTTAGTTGATGCAATAAGCTTACTACATAGCTTGCAAAATCAAGGAGATGCGACGTGTATCTATTGGAGGATTTCAGAAAGCGGCGCAAACTTTATTTTGCGCCACCAAAATCATCCGGAATTATAATTCAAATGCGCCGCAAATTTTGGTGAGGTCAGAAAAGCGCCTCATCAAAATTTGCGGCGGGTCCGGACTATTTGGTACGGATACTGTTGTAGTACGGATAAAGCAACTTGGCAGCAATGAGGCGATGGCTGTGGTTGCACTTGCTGACGACGACGACGATGCCAACGACGAGGCTCTTAGCAACCTCCGCTTGTTCAGAGCACGAATGTCCTTAAAGGAACGACACTACCTCACCAGCAAAGTCCTCGTACCACCCAATGCGAGTCCATGGATAGTGTTGTATGGTACGATAGACCGCAGTGCATTCATAACAACCGTGTCCTTGCCACCCGACGCCTTTCACAACCTGCTCCACGAGTTTTCCAAGTACTTCACCTAGAAGTCCCGAATTTTAAAGTCAGGACGCCCCCCCAAACTGCCGCACAAGCACCAAGCATTGGCACCTGTCCTCCACTACTGCACTGCGGCATTCGAGCACAAGACCATGTGCGAAATATTTGGAGTCCCTCCGTCGACGTTTGCAACAGCGTTCCGAAAGGCTCAGGTCGCGTTTGGAATTGCGTTGGAGAGCATAGACCAGGCGAGGGTTCATTACCCATCGAAACGGACACAAATGGAGGGCACGGCAAGTGGCCAAACGGGGCCGTTGGTTTCAGGCCAACACATCATGGAGTACGTTGGAGAAGTGATTGGCAAGGACGAATTCTTCTGGCATTTCCGCAGCATGTCCTTCTCCCAAGTGCCCGACTACTACTTCATGCAGATCTCCAAGTACGTACGTGGACGCCAAGGTGTAAGGAAACAAATCGCGTTTCATCAACTACTCCTGTGAGCCGAACTGCATCGCCGAGGTGTGGACACTGCATGGTGAGAACAGTATTGCTATTACGGCAATAACCAACCAATATTGATGCCGACGTCGAAGTTACTTTCAACTGCAAGTGCTGTTCAGCAAAGTGTTGCGGTCGGATGTGAACGTAAACAGCGACAAGTCAAGTTGATAATACCTTAATACTACGACTTTGCAATTATTAATGTTTTACAGTTAACTCACGACAATCTTGCTAACTTGAGTGATGCCTAAGGTGTCGTTATTGCCGACTTGAGTGGCGCTGCATGAATACTTCACCCCCCTTCAAAGTGCGAAGTTGGCGCATGCAAAGTAAACAATATCAGTGCATTAATAGTATGGCTCAGCGTGCCGTATCAAGTACTAGTACTACGTATTATTAATAGTATTGGACTTCAATACTCCATTACTAGTATTCCGGAGTACTAGTACGTAGTAGTAAAGTACTGTATTATTCATACATACAGTATCACTACGTACAGTAGTACTAGCACTAACTGTGAACTACTAGATTGCATAACGTACGTAGTACAGTCGGCGACGGAATTTAAGGGGCACCGAAGTATTCGCATTACACACAAATATTCCGCCAATGAGATCTCAAATCACAAATATCGCTACACAATTGGTGGAAAATTTGTTAAGGCGGGAAAACATTTTATATTCGCGGGGGATGACAGAGATGAATGTGCTCGGTGTCATTTTCAAATGGAGACTGCATCAAGCAAGAAGATTAGCCCCCAACAAATGCAAAGAAGGCGATATAGTCACGCTAACAAACGTGAAATGATCGTAAAGATGCAAGAAGCATCCACACGGGACGTAGCAGCCGACACAGGCATCCCAAAGAGCAATCTTACGCGATGGAAAAAGCAAAGCAGTGACATTCTCCACTTCGAGGGTACAATGAAGCGCTTCCACCTCCATGGCGACGGCCGTCCGGTCATGATCCCAAACGCTGACGGACTCGAAGCATTCATGCACAAGCGACGTGACGCGGAGCTGACCCTGACGTGCACGCACCTGGTAAATTACCTCAAGCGGAACCACAAGCCTTGGCTGGAGCAATACCTATCAGACCGCCGGAGCGGTTACAAGTCACTGCTGAAGCCTCTTCAGCAGTTCTGTGCGCGCCATGGATTCACATGCCAGAAGCCTGTCAGCTCCAAGAACAGTTGGAGAAGGTTCGGCAGGAATTTGCTTAAGACTTCAACGTCGCGTTCAGTGGCTTCTCCCCAAGCGTCATCATCAACGTGGATGAGATGGGCATGAGTTACGACATGCCACTTCACGCTATTTGGTCCGTCAAAGGTGGCTCCTCAAAGATTTCAAGTGGCGAGAAGCATTCGTACCGGATGACGGCCGTGCTCTAAATGCGTGCAAACGGCGAAAAGCTTCCCATCCTTTTCATTCTGCGCGGGGAGCCTGGTGGCCGCATTGAAACTGGCGAGTTTGAGACCTATCCGATTGGTCACTACTATGCTGTTCAAGAGAGCGCCTGGATGGATGCCAGGGTCTGGGCATTCTACCTTCGGAAGCTACTGAGACCTCGGCTCGATGAGCCCTCTGTTTTGCTTTTGGACAACTTCGATTCTCACGTGAGCAAGGAAGGAATGAAGGTCGCAAGCGAGGAGTGTGGGTGTGTCGTGGCTCCAATCCCTTCGAACGCAACAAGTGTGGTCCAGCAATTGGAGGTTGGAATTATGGCACCGTTTAAGCGGCACTTATGGTTGGAGGAAGACCTCATTGAGGGTGGTGATAGTGGGGAAGATGTAGATATGATGAGTGTCCCTGCCCAGCAGAAGCGGCTTGTCATGATTCATCGCGCAATTAAGGCGTGGGCGTTGATCACGCCGGAGGAAATTAGGCGGAGCTTCTCAAAGGCAATTCCACAATAAATACTAGTACATGCAATAAATACTAACTAGTACATGTCGTTTACAATTTTTAATAAAAAAAAGTTCGACGCGCCCGGGACTCGAACCCGGGACTCACTCAAGACAGACAACGTGTTTTACCACTGCGCTATCGCGTCATACGCTTATCTTTGTAAGAGACACATCGTACCAATCAATTTAAAATACCTCGATGTTTGAAACTGCAGAAAATCCAGAGTCTCGAATATGGTTGGCCACAATATTGAACGAATTTCGAAGCTTCTCAGCCAATCATACCGTGTGTTTCCGAATAATCGAATTAGTAAGTACCCCTTAAATTCCGTCGCCGACTGTACTAGTACTACTAATAGTAAGTACTCTACGTACTGGACGTCACATGGAGTCAGATGGAGTTTCTTTCATTCCTATCGCCACTAGTTTCATATTATCTTCCTCCTGAGGTATATTATGTACGAAGTATTGGTTCCCTTGACGAATCCGAAGAACATGTGCGTCATTCTCAGTGGCATGTGTAGCTTCTTCAATCATTACGTCACTCTTGCCTGTCTCATCCAACCGATGGAGGTCCACTGTACTCCCCTGGATGGACGACCAAAAAATGGACTCGTTGATATACTATTAATATTAAACGAAGTAGTATCCCACTAACCCGGAATCCCTGGAACCCCTGGACCCCTTTCGCTTACATACGATGCTATTCCGGGGGTTAAGGTGCATCACAAGTGGTTAGCTAGCGCTAACCACTGAGATGCACTTGTTTTGAATTTACACTCGATTTGATTATCTTGCAGCGTTGCTGTAAATATACTCACGGTACACCGCAGTACCAGTACTAGTAGTAGTGCAGTTGTCCTCCAAGGTTTGCTTGCTCCCTGGTCAAAACGAAATTCCCGTATAAAACAATACCATATAAACTTTTCAAGGGTTGATTTGAATTGACACGAGGTTTAAATTTTTCAACATGAGGCGCTTTGACAGGCTTAAGTTATGAGGACATTTGAGAATATGCCGCAGTTCAAACAACAAGGAAAGCGACTCTCGATTCACGAAAAGAACTTGATTCAGGGCCGTTGCCGAGTGGGTGTACATGGCGAATGCAAAGAATGCATGCGTGACTGGCCAGTTAATCGCGAGGAAGGGGCTCCAAATCGCCACCGAGCTTAATCTACCCGATCAAGTCAAATGCTTCCATGGGTGGTTGTACCGCCGTTGATGGAGCACCTCCATTCTCTTTACATTAGCTCCGGTCATTCGCTGGTGCGATTGCTTAATTGAGTTTGACGTAGTAAATCACTGTTTATCCACCAAAAAAACCTCCAATTTTAATATTTTGTATCACCTTTATGTCATCAACTTCCTGGAATAGTTTATGTCGTTGTATGGGAGCAAACCTTGGAGGACAACTGTAGTATAGTTAGTACGAATGACCTGTCGAGAACCAGCTGGACTACAGTAATTCGTGAGAGCAACAGCTGCACTTGTTCTTATTACGAAGTACCAGTGTATCATAGCCAAATGCAGCGAAAGCCAAAACAAAACGTTCCAGCTAGGACTCGGGGTTAAGTGTATAACAATGGTTAGCGATCGCTAACCCCTGGTGAAGCACTTAACCCCGGGAATAGCAGCAAAAAGTGTCCGGGGATTCCAAATTTACAGGTTCTTTTGAAGAGAAATGACTACGTAAGAAACAGTGGAACTGTTGCTCTGACGGAATTATTCTCACTGTGTGGGCAAGAATTGATTATTTATATTAATCAGATACTAACTAGTACTACAGTATACTAATATATCATGTCTACGATGTCGCATACGTATGGATCAGAAACAATGACCTCGGAATACTGTATCGGTATCCTAAGGTTATTAAGCTTAGTGGGTTCAAACATGCCTGCCAAGGGCATTACAACACCTGTATATGAGTCTGAGAAATCCATCCAAATTCCTACCACACATCACGAACCCTTTGCAGGGCGTTTCGACAGACCACAATACCATTCCTCATTATTCATTTTGCCATGAAGTTCTCCCTCCTGAGTGCCATTGCCCTCTTCGCTGCGGCGGCCACCGCCCAAACCAACAACGCCGTCGCGGACATCGACGACCGCGCTCGATCGTTGAAGGAGGATGCTGCTAGAGTAGACGATTCCGTGTTGAACCGCGAGTGTCACAAACAAAACGACAACTACATCCCGTCCCTCAAAGCCGGAGAGTACTCGACCAGTGCGTTCCACAACTGTTTCCGCACAGTCGACCAAATCTACGAGTTCACCGATGCGTTGGTCGCCCAAAACCCGAAGTTGCTGAGCAAGTTTGCCATCTCCAAGTCGTACAAGAACGCCACGATTTACGGGTACAAGCTGACTAAGGGTCACTCGCAGTCGCTGTACTTTCAAGCCCTGCAACACGCCCGCGAATGGATCGCGGGGTCGTCGATTCTGTACTCTCTCGCGTCGATTCTGGATGACATTGCCAACAACAAACCCACGGCCGCCGACGAGTACGACTTGTACTTTGTGCCGATCGTCAACATTGACAGCTACGCCCTCACCTGGAACGGCAAGCGGTTCCAGCGCAAGAATGCCAACGAAGTCGACTTGAACCGCAACTGGCCGACTCCCTTCGAGAACCCCAAGCCCCCTGCCAAAAAACACGAAATTTACCCCGGACTTAAGCCGTTCAGTGAGCCTGAAACCGCTGGGATCAATGAATGGCTCCTATCCAAACGCGGCGAAATCCAAGGCTTCATCGACATTCACGCGTACGGGGCCCTCATCCTTTACGCGTACGCAGACACGAGGGAACCCCTCGGCGGGGGGTTTGACGAGAAGTTCGACGTCCTCGGCCGTGGATTGAAAAGCGTCATGGGGGCGTACACCTCTAAACCGGCGCACGGATTTTATTTGGCGTATGGGGTGTTCCCAGATTACGCGTTCCGTGAGTTCAAAAAGCCCGCCTTGACGATTGAAATTATCGGCGATGATTTTACCGCGAACGTGACGACCATCCCGACACGCGGCCTCGAAGTATACAAAGGCATCAACCAATTCGCCAAGGAAGTCACCGTGTTCAACGGTGGAGACGTCAAGCCGTCGTGTGGCAAGTAGGAGCCAAGAGCTCGACTTAAAAGTCAAATTGTATTGTGTCTATGGTACAACTTGCGGTTTGTTGTTTTCAACTCCCAATACAACACGGTGACGTCACCAAAGTAGACTTTACTCCAAGGAACTTATAAATGGCATCATAAAACATGCAA